GTGTACATTGTGTGCATTGTAAATGTCACATCAGAAAATCCAACATGAGAAAATATACACTACCATTTTTGAAAGAAATTAATACTTTTATTCAGCAAGGATGCATTACAATGATCAAAAGTGACAGTAAAGCCATTTATTTCTATTCATAAAAAAATCCTGAGTATTTTTTTTATCACAGTTTCCACAAAAATATGATGTAGCACAACTGTTTTCAACATTGATAATAATACTAATAAATGCTTCTTGAGCAGCAGATCAGCCTATTAGAATGATTTCTGAAGGATCATGTGACACTGAAGACTGGAGTAATGATGCTGAAAATTCAGCTTTAATCACAGGAATAAATTACATTTTAAAATATATTCAAATAGAAAACATCTATTTTAAATGATAAAATATAATAAAAAATATGACTATTTTACTGTATTTTTGATTAAATAAACAGGTGTGCATAGGAGTCTTTTTTTCATATCCCAAACTTTTTCGGTGGTGTAAAGTTTTATTTGAACTAATTCATACAAATTTGCCACCAGTTGCCACAATCTAAAATAGTTATGAATTGTCCGTTTAATTCAACAGCAAATTTCAGGTGAGTGGGTTGAATATCTCTTTCAGTATGAAGAAGAAATGTTTGACTCTCTCTGTCTGTCTGCATTTCTCACTGTAAAAATATTAAATCATGGCAACTTATGTTTTTACAATACTTTAACTCATCAAAATAAGTTTAACTTTAATAATAAGTAACTTTTTTAATTATATGAAATTCAACTTGATTTTTAAAGTCAGTTTAATGTATTTTAAGTTAAAATGATTCATACAACCAAGTTGATTATACTTAAAAAATTTAAGGCAACAACTAAACATAAGTTTTTAAGTTGAAATAGGTGGAATTTTTTTATACAGTGTGTTATGATTTGATTCCTATTGGGAAAGTGAGGAAAAAAGCAAATAAAAACAGGTTTTACTTACATTTTCTGTCTCTGCCGGTACAAATAACCTGAGGCTGTTTCTCATTCAGAGAGATGATGCATGATCGTGCTGATGTAGTGAACTAGGCTGGATAGTTTTCCTCACTTCAACACCACCAGAATACAAATAGCTCCATCCAGAGAGGCGAATGGGTCTGCAGTCAGTAAAACAGCACTATGTGTTAGTATTCATGCTTTGAGATGATTTACAAGCAGGTAGTCCAATGTTAGGCTAATGTGCACAAAATAGGAAAAGACATACAAGTAGTAGACTTATGCTATAGGCTAGATTCGAGAGGAGAACAGCACAGGTTTTACCCATTGGCAAAATGAGTAGCAGTAAATCATACTGCTAACTATTCTAGTTAACAAGAACAGTGCTTAAAAGAGAGATAAAGGGAATCATGCATCACTGCTATTGCACTCATTGTCCTATAATTGCATCATTTGCACAGTAACAGCTCAGAGTCTAGAGAAACATTTTTCTTTTTTAGACATTTTAAGAAAAACCAAGAATAGAAACAACTATGTTTGTTACTAAACTGCTAAATATTGTTGTCTTTTGTGTTATTATTTACATGAACATCTGCAGTAAATAGATAAATCAGTCACCTGTCCTTATGTTCAGCCTGCAGCCACCGAAAATCTTTACTTGACATCTCCATTGCCTCCTTGAAATAGATGGTGTCGATATGAATAAGCTTGAGTCATTTATCGTGTTCCTGGGAACTACCAACTTTAAAAATTGCCAAGAAGTGTCAACAGAGAGCGCTTATCCTGAGACATTAAAATAGTAATACAGCTTCCCAATTCACATAGTCCTCCTAAATAAAATGCAACAGCACAACATCCAGGTTACAGAAGTAAAAATACAATTTGTTTTTTTCCCCATATAGGCTAATTCTATGTATAAATCTTTCAAAGCAGTCCTTCAACTGCTGCAGGCAACTTATTTATATATATATAGTTTTCCCATTTGTATTGGCCATTTAATTCGATTGTCATTTGCTTTATGAGTAGAGTAGTTCATTCCCTCATAAAAACGTTTAAGGACAAAGTACCTTTTTCTTTTTTTATGTAAAAACTGTGCTTTCATGCTTTAGGCTAAATCAAGGTTTGTAAAGTTGTTTTTCATCTTGTTTTGGTTCATGGCTTAGTGAAGAATTCTGAAAATCCCTATGGAGAAAATAAATGGAAAATTACTAACAGATCCAAGGCCGCTGAAAAACCCCCACACAAATGTTGATTTCATGCAGAGTTGATGGTACTGTCCATCTGAGCCGTCTATGAATAGAGGCCTATATGCCTGAATAGTAGTCTAGCTACCCATTGCTAAATCTTATTGGATTGTTTAATCTAGTTTAAAATGACCCTCATTTTTTTATGTAATCTGGACAACTTTAAAGGTGCTAGGCTATAGCCTTGCCTATGATTTCTCAGCGATGTGGCACGTGATCGTTGCATCTCAGACCAAAACAAACTTGCCATACATTCACTTTCCGTTCATCCACACAAAAATCACATTTTTTTTCTGTGAGGGGTAGGTTTGGGGGGAGAGTTAAGGTAAGAGGATAGAAATCCAGTTTGTAGCCTACAGTATACAAATTATTATGTCTATGGAATGTCCCCATAAAACATGGCAACGAGTGTGTGTGTGTGTGAGTGTAAATATCATATAGCACCTTTAACATCATTTTGTTAATGCATGAAAAAGATGTGAAAATTCATTGAAGCAGGTTAAAGTATTTAAATTTTTTATATTCTATTGTCAAATGCATTAAAAGAATTACAACATATAATTTGTTAAAATGTAGTGCTGTCAAATCGATTAATCATGTAGGCTATATCTTTAATATAGGCCTAGGCTACATGTAGACTGTGTGTGTGTGTGTGTGTGTGTGTGTGTGTGTATAGCCTACACACACACACACACACACACACACACACATATTATGTAAACACAAACTTTTATTTTGGATGCGATTAGCCGCGATTAATCGATTTGACAGTTGACAGCACTTTTGAAATATAAACATATTTAAATGTTATTGTAGATCTGGAAGGAAACGTGCTGCTGGCCGACTGTCACACAACGCCCCCGTCTGGATGGTAAAGTAATAACAATATCTAACGAACAATACACTGGGATCCAAAACACATCACTGGGCATCTGGCATTCATGATCTAAATCTGCAGTGAAAGTTTTAGAATTTTCAATAGATCTAAAAAAGAGGGCAGTTATGATGACTATTCCTAGGTCACTAATAAAAATAAGTATAATGTTCACTTTGTACAAACTTGTGGAGTTCATGCAGCTTGAGTGTTGCTGTTAAAACAGATGATCAAATCTAATCCATTCTGAAATTTGGTTATTTTAAAAATTAAACTTTTAATTCATATTGTTATGCTGATTATATGATCTGTGATAGAAAAAAATGCATTAAATTAGCAAAAATAGAAGCATTCTCATTAATGTTCTCAGACATTTGCATCCCACTAAACATTATGCCATTATGTGTGACAGATGTCTATTGTCAAATACATGATTTAGCATCTATATTTGAAATTTGTTTATGAAATGTAAATAACTGCTAGTTTTTGAAAAAAAAAAAAAAATCTTAACGTTTGAGAAAACTGTTGAATGAAAACCGTTGCATAATTTTCTTCAACAGCAGGTGGAGATAAAAGTCCATGAATCCACTGAACAGCATGAGAACTCATTCCTTCTGTACTCAGAAAGGAAGCACGCAGCCAGAAATGACCACGAATATTTCTCATGCATCTCATGGTTAAATATTATTATTTTTGTATTTTGCTGTTCAAACTCTAAAATCTAAATGCACAGTTGTTTCTGACCCATTCAGATTATAGGCCACCTTTTTTTTTTTTTTTTAAATGTGACACTTAAGTACTTTAAATTTCTTTCATCATAAAATCTGCTGCTGGATTTATGTGGAATAATAATGAACCCTGTAGATCCAAGAGCTAATATTCCCTTTAAAAGAATGAAAAGCTTTGCCCTTCTGCTGCTCACTTTGACTTGAACCAGGGCAGGTGAAAGAATATCAAAGCCTCTCACTGCCAAACGCTACTCTACACTTCATAATAAACAGATAAGCTGTGCCCCAACAAGCTCTTTGATCACTGGCAGGCGCATATAGAATGATAAAATCGTTCTCTGGAATCGATCCAAAGGGTTTGATAATGTTGAGGAAGTATTCGAACACTTAAAAAAATAAAAAAAAGGAATTTTATACATACACACACACACACACACACACACACACACGTATAGGC